GTGATGGATGTCAGGATGGTAGATGAGGGTATATCTTTTTGCATTGGAAATGTGACTGAACGAGATCAAATTTTATTGAGAACATATAATTTTTTGTGACTATGTTATGAATCATTGTTGGGCGATATAAAATATTTGATTCATTGACACCTGAAATTTCCATGTGTAGTCTGCTTGTTTTACTGATTGACTATATTCTCATTGAGTCATGATAAATTCGGATTAACTGTATATTTTATGATAATTAAATTATTTATTTGTAATAAATATAATGAAATAATATTTTTTAAAAAAGATCATATTTAGAATTCATCTCGAATTTGTATCGATCTTTTAAGTTTTTTAAAGTAAATATGTAGCGCCCGGAGAAAAGGGGTCGAAAAAAAAAAAAAAAAGCCACGTCGGCAGCCACGTCAGCAGGCCCGGTCAGCAATCCCGGCCAACCGGGGCCTGCCATGCGGCAAGACCACGTCACTCCGGAACGGGCCACGTTGGCGATCCGCGTGAGCGCGATCGGACGGCCCAGATCAATCGCGCGATCGGACGGCCCAGATGCAATCGCACGGACGGCCCAGATTCAATCAAAAATGGACGGCAAAGATTAAAACAAAATGGACGGCTGAGATCAAATGGCAAGGGGTTATAAATAGAACCCCCACACCAGACCACAAACCCTAGCCGCCTGCCGCTCGCCGGAGAAGACGAACCAGAAGCCGGCCGCCGCCACCCGCCGCCACACCGGAGGAACTTCCGACCGCCGATCGAGGTAAATTTTGTACCCCCGACTCGTTTTTCCATGCTGATTCCTCCTGTGGCCAAATTGGAGCCAAAATCCCGGCCAAACGGCCGGAATACACGGCCGAAGCCCAGCGGCGCCGTCGCGCCCCTTCTCGATTTTTGCCTCCGATGAGGCCCTTCCCGGCCTCCGTTTGATGCAATTTTTATATCACCGTGATCACCATTCTTTTCTCTACAGGTTGACCGGAGCCGAATCACCAAAACACGAACATCACCGGAGAGCCGCCGCACCCGAGAGCGCCGCCGCCGGTAAGCTCCGTTTTTCTGTAATTTTTTGGCTCCCCGAGGGCCCTAGGGTTGTTTTCTCACAGGGACCGATGCGAGTGTGGCCGAATTCGGCCGGAAACAGCCAACCCGAGGCGACTCGCTGGCGGCGCCGTCGCCGGAGCACGGCAGAGCCGCCGTGCCGGAGTTGCGATTTGGGCCGAAAGGGGCCCTGGGCCTAATTTGGGATTTTTTTTGGAACACGTGCAGGTATCAGTAGTGCGTTTCAGTTCCCCGAGGAAAATTCAGGAAAAATTAGGGACAGCCTGCAAGCGCACTGTGAAGCCGTGTTCGGACTCCGAAACGAGTAAAGACCCCTCACCCTATTTCCTATCACGGTATTAAAGTTCAAAATGATAAAACGGTATTTCTTGAATTAACGAATGTGTGAAATTGCTTAAGGTGGCTAATGGAGCCCGAGTCTAGTGTGATTGGTGATTTACTGTTATTTGGCCTGTTTACAGCTTTAAATGCAAAATGAGGTTTGATGTGTTCATTTTACAGATTTGTGTGCATATACTACGTTTTAATTATTATGGGTTGAATGACTGAAAAACTGATACTGTATGTTGTCTGTTTGACATGAATTACGA